TCCACAATCATTCCTTAATACATCTTAATACATGCCATCTAAAGACTATAGTAACCGTGGATCATTAGAGTCTGTAAATCAGTTGATTCTATGTTCTCAATTTATGCAAGTATAATGGGTGCTGTGTCTAGGGCAGGAATGAGGGGAGGAAAAGAATGTAGGAGCAGTGCAATTCATCCTGAAATGAAGATGAGCAAAAATATGGAAAAATGAGCAAAGGCAATGCTGACTAAACATAGATATAAATTTGATATACTTGGCACAGAAAAATTTGCGTATTTCCTAAACAAAATCTTCCAAGGCAAAAAATTAAGGGGAATATACGATCTCTGTTTAGATCTGGTATGCTTGGGCCTTTTGAAGGGTTATTAACATCATACGTATGATGTTACATACAATACATAGATGAGAGAATTATATGGTAACACAGGTGGTGACTGTTTTATAAAGCAGTGAACCTGTTGCAAATAATTGAACCAGAAGAAGTGTTCAGAATACAAGAGTTTTGTTCTTACCCATTCAGAGTAGAAGCTGAATGTGAAACCTTTCACCTTATGCATCAGATTTTCTTGTTGGGTGGGCACTGACTTGGCTGCATTCAGAACAGCTCTGGCAGGTGCTGGAATGGATTTCTCAGTCATGGTCTCTCAGTCATGCCTGTGCCAACACAAACAACCACATCGAATTCTTTCCAGTTGTTTACATTCACACACTTACCACATATTTTAAAACCTGGAAGGCTGAAGTTTAACTTGCAAATCAAAATTCCTGAAGTTAGATATTTACTTGAGATGTAGGTGTCTAATTACTAGTGTGTGGAAACAGGGCTCGATGTGATTGCCTGAACACAGGTATCTAGTGCCATTGGACTCGTTGCTGCCATTCCAGCGAAGAGGTCCTTTGTCACATCTGCCACGCAGGTGTCTTGGATATCCGAGGGCATCTCAAGTAGTACTAGATGCCTACATTTAGGCAAGTAGGTACAGTTTGTTCATTGTGTCAGTGGAACTTCATGACCAAACAGTGGTGTCCACTTAAGGGTGAACTGAATGTCACTCCTGACTGCGTTTTTTCAGGTCTTGATTCTGCAGTCAGTATCTCTGGCTGTGTAACAGAGGAGCTAGTATGTCTGTTGCTATGAAATTCAGAAAAGTTTGGCAAACCTTTTGGTAATGTAAAATGTTGTAAGTGGGATCTTGGCAGATGAGAACAGATCTCTATCCTTTCTTACTTGGTAATAAATTATCATCCATGATAGCCAGCAAAGCTGTTCTTGTCTCATGTACTGATCTGAAAGCAACTGGTGCTAAATCTAGCATGTTCATAGCAGTGTAGTCAGTTTGTATCTTCGCTTTATTTAGTCAAGCCAGCAAAAAAAAAGGCAATTTGATAATGGGGTTCTATTGCTTAGGTATATTATCACTAGAATGATGTTATTCTCTATTTGGTTTTCCTTTATGTATTTGAAAGGAGAGAATGCATATCAGTGAGTTGAGATATTCTGTACTGATGAGCAGAGTGCACACTTTTGACGGACTGTGATTTAAGACATGTAAGACATTAAATGTAAAGGTGCTGATACAGCTTAACTGACTCATTATACGCGATAGTAAGACGTGTGGTATGTTTGTGTATGTTGTACAGCCTGGATTAGTCACTCAGAACAATAAAGACATGCTGCCATAGTGCACTCTCTGAAATCCACTCTCTGCAGTAGATACAGAAACCCTTTGGATGAATTAATAGTAAAGGATGCTATGACTCATTTTTAAGAAACTGATGTTCTATTCAGTGTCAGGTAGAGGCCAAGGACTTGAGTAATGAATTCTCAAAAAATGTCAAACATGTTCAAGAATAGCTACTTTCTACCATTGACAAGAAACGTGCAAGTTGAAATTAGTTCTTATAGTTGCTGGACTCTGATGCTTCGTGTAAACATGGAATAAGTTGCCACTAGCAGTAGAATTATGCAATCAAAATTGCTAATATCTTTATTGTAAGCTAAATGTATTTTATTAATTCAAATATCTTTAAGGATCCTTGCATTGAAATAACAATGTTTCTAGTTCTGTCAGCTTCCTAATAATTACTGCGTATCATATGTGTGCAGAGCTCTTTCCAAGTTCTGCAGGAAAAGGGGTTCAAGGCTGTTGTGAGCTAACCCCAGCCAGCAGCTCAGCCCCACACAGCTGCTCACTCACTCCCACACAGTGAGAAAACTTGTGGGTTCAGATAAAGACAGTTTAACAGGTACAGCCAAAGCTGTGTGTGCAAGCAAAGCAAAACAAGGAATTCAGTCGCTACTTCCCAGCAGGCAGGGGTTCAGTCATCTCCAGGAAAGCAGGGCTCCATCATGTCAAACAGTGACTCGGGAAGGCAAATGCTGTAACTCCAAACATTCTCCTTCCTCCTTCTTCCCCCAGCTTTTATTGCTGAGCACGGTGTCATATGGTGTGGGATATCCCTTTGGTCAGCTGGGGTCAGCTGTCCCAGCTGCATCCCCTCTGAATTTCTTGTGCACCTCAGCAATAGCTAAGACATCTCTGTGTTATCAACACTGTTTAGGTCACAAATCCTACAAGCTACTATGAAGAAAATCAACTCTATCCCAGCCAAAACCAGTACAAAGGCCTAACCGAAATGTCAGCAGTGAGAACATCAGCACAAGAGAGTTTTTGAATGAAGCAAGGAGGCGACAGGAGGAAGTTTAATGTTTAGCCAGAGGGAACTAATCTTAAGTCTGGAGTATAGAGACCATGGTACTTAAAGAAAAGTATACAATTGGGTCAGTTTAGTCGTCTGTTTAATAGGAAATGCATGAGTTTGCATGCATCAAACTCACATGCTGCTTGTCTCAGAGTTATTTCTGCTCCTTAGGCAAACCTAAGACTGTCTTTGGAACAGATCTTATAACCAACTCATCGCACAATTTGGCTGCCCAGCAGCAGAATGGGACCTTACAGCTGCTTTAAGATTTTCTAGCACAATGAGAAACCTGAATAGGAGGGAAGAAGTCGTTTCTGCTAGGCACTATGAAAGGACTGGGATACAATTTACATCAGAAGTCCTGGTGCAAATTGTATCTGAAAACAATTTTGGAAACATTGTTCAATAAAAATTGGACTACTTAGAGTTCTATTTGGCAAACACAAGATTCACATGGAAAACCAGGATCTTTTTGGGGCATCCATCTAAGTTCAAGCATTTGTATGCTCTAGGTAGCTACACTTGAATTAGTTGCTGTGGGGCTTCTTCATTGACTGTAGAAATACATCCAGTGAAGGCCATGTTGACTGCTTACATTGATACAAGAAGTGCTTCCTAGAAGGTCCTATGAAGACACCTTAGACCATTGCCTTAGATGTTTATATTTGCAGTGTAGACAGCGCTAGGTGAAATAGAGCCTACGATTTATGCCCACAGAGAGGCTCTAGGAATGCAGCAGGGCTCTGCAAATTCACAGCAGACTCTATAGAGAGCAATAAAGTAATATTTTAGGTTTTGCCATTTTAACCACCCAGGGACACCAATTAAAAAATAAAAAAGGAATATTTATTCAAGTTTTTAACTGAGGAACTTTCTTACGGTCATTCTAGTGTCACTGGAAACTTCATTAAGTCCTTAATTTTCCTTCCTTATCTCTGCAGTAAATGAGTATTATGTAAAGCAAGCAAAACATTAAAATGTCAGGACTGTTGTCAAAAAGGCCATCACAGCTTACTTCTCTAATTAAAAAAAGAGATTTCTGTTTCCTGTGACACCTTGTATACGACGTTTAGCTCCTAACAAGCGTGATAGTTGCTATGAATACACTTAACGTATATGGCAGTTATGTTTCCCTTATTTTTCCCCTTTAACCATATCTACAATAGTGCAGTTTCAAGATTCTTCATTTCATTTAACATTTCATTTAGTCTTTTCCATATCTGTATAATATTTGCGAAGAGAATGTCCAGCTAATTTCATCATGAATTGGAATTGCTGAAGTTACCTCTTGGCCTTTTAAATGCTATAAAAATAAATATATTAAGTGATTTGCTTTTCCTTTTGCTATCTTAGTTTATTTAAAAGCATTGCTTACTTGCTACTTTTTACAAACATTTTTCAAGAAAGTGAGTGATATAACCATGTGCACTAAATATTGAAATTCTGTCTGTTATACGTTCTACACTGCTATTAAAAACTTTAATTTCATAACATAATAAAAAACTTTACAATTTTAGTATTTTATCTAGCTTCAGTGGAAAATAATGTCAGTCTAATGACTGTTGTAGGCATAAATGAAGCAGCAGCTTAATTCTGAGAGTATTTAGCATTATTTTTCTTGATGTTGTCATTCAGAATAGGATTTAATGTAATATGTAGCTGGTAAATTTACAGATAGCTGCTGTTAATCGGCAGACTCTGCACTTCAGTCTGCTTTTCCTCTGTTGAAAAATTTTCTTTCCAAGTTTTAGTGAATAACTTTACTAAAGAGAGAAAGGGTTGTTTGGGTCACAATTTAATAAAGTATTTGAACATTTAGATTAGGAAATTAATGAGACTTAAACACGTCTTTAAAAATAAATTAATGTATAAATGCATTATGAAGTACTCTGGAGCAGAAGGACTGAGAGAGATTCTCTCTTTCAGAGATAATCCATCTTTTCAAACCGTGGCTCATTCTTCCCAGTTTGATTGTGTTTATGGAAGTTGATGAATCCAATATTTTCTTTGACCTCATTGACATGGAATAATCAGCTGAAATTGTACCAGCTTGTGTGTCTAAGTTTTGAGTTCTTGAGGCTGAATTTTCTGCTGAGGTCAATTGGCTTGAGATGTTGCATTGCAAAAATACATTGGAATAGAAACATAAACATTCTCATCACGTACTGTACAGCAAAGAGTGAAAACAATGCTATTCATTTAGCCTTCAGAGCTATTAAATGGAAAAATATATCCTTTCACAGTCTATTTTACATATCAGTAAGTGGTTTCTGCATATGTATTTTTCTGTGCAGGACAACTTCTATGTAAGGGTGAAGGCAATTTATACACTTGGACACAGCCTCTCTCTGATTGCTCTTACAACAGGAAGTATAATTCTTTGCGTTTTCAGGTATGTATCTTTCATGAGTAAGTATGAACAATGATAAGATGGTTTTAACTGTTGCCTGATTGCTCAGATATTTAGAAAATCACTTTTACACTTTTCTCCATTAAACAGATGACAATAATGTAACGCTAACTTGGTTTTTGCTAGCACCAGTCATATTAAAAGATTTCAAAGCATTTTACAAATTTATGGACATTACAGACCATGGAAGAAAAAAATAGTCATTTAGGAATGGATTATATAAAGCATTTTCTATTTGATTATTAAAATCGACACCTTGAATTGCTCTTGAAAATTAGTAGGATGCTGGTCTCAACACTGGACAAGTGGGAAGCCATATCTTGCAGAAGCTTCTGAGTGGTCTTCAGGGGTACTATAATCAAAGGTAATCATTAATTTGTCCAAGTGGTGCTGTAAAAGTGTGGATAATTGTGCTAAAGGATAGTGCTGGGTGTGCAATGGTTTTGTTAGGCAGTGTTAGGAAAGGCAGTACTGTCTGTTGGGTTTGCCTAATTTCTGGGAATTTTCTGAGACTGAAAGCAATCTCCAACTGGTAAAAGAAATTGCAAAATGGTATTATCAGTATCATAGCTTTTCTCAGTCTCTCCACCGTCATGCCTTTATGTATCACTTCTGCCTGTCTAGTCGAATAGCCTTTATATTCTCCATTATAATGGATACAACTTTTCCATTCCACTCTACACCAAGAAAAACAAGAAAATGCATGTCTCAGATTTTGTAGAAAAGAAGTACATGTAATACGTAGAGGACAGGATGTCATTTGTCAGAGCCTCATTCCTCTGATGAACTCTTCCTATGGCAAGTTCTGTAAGCGTTTCAGTCTGCCATCAAATTTTCTCACTATTTAAATATTCAGAGACTATTCAGAGCAGATGCATAACCCATAATTATATTTTAGAATATCTTTGAAAAAAATGAATTGAGTCACTCATGGTTATCTTCTTTCTACCAGCAAACAGGCAGATCATGCATTTTCAAAACTGCTAAAACCTAATAATGCATTTAAAACAGTGTGTTATAGATATCTGAATGTTGTCCATCACCAGAAGTCAGTTATAACAAAAAGATCAGAGGTGTGCTCAGAAACTTCAACTTCAGTTTAAATATCCAAGTTGAGAACTTCCCAATCTTCCTGTTGAGTCAGCGGAAAGACCCAGGCATTTTTTCAGGGAGGAACACAGGGTCTCTTAAATCTCCACCTAAACAAGCCTGTTTGTTATCTACAGGGAGTGTAGGGGCTGCCTCTAACGTAGGAAGTGGAATTAGGAATTTCAGCTATAAACACATGAAAGGCAGAAATGTTGGGTGGGGAAAGGAGAGTTGTTTCTGAAAGTTTCCTTGCAGTTGCAATATTCTGGTTTGCATTTCTTTCAAAGAACTGGACTTGAATTTAATTTTTACAGAAACATTATATGGGTTCCCATTATTAATGTCTGTAAAGGACACATTTAGAAGCATTGTAAAAGGAAAGGATTTTATACCCAGCTAATCTTTTAATCTCAAAACAAAGACATAAAACATGAATATCTGTAAATACCTTGCCAGACTAAGCTGACAGCATTTTTCAAGTTACTATGGTGCCACTCCCCACATAATACTCCATGTAGTTATTATAATTAAAGCTAATGGGCAACTTTCTGGCACAATATTTTCATGTTGGAGGTTGCCAATTTTTCAGGCACATTCTTGCTTCTGCAAACAATTTATAAACAGCAAAGCTAATTATTTTGATTTAGTCAAAAGAAGTTGCTTTTACCCTTCTCAGAATACAAGTTTCTATTTCTTCATTTTGCATGTCTAAGTTTTAATATATCATAAAGTTTTAGAAAAGTGGAAATCAAAATGATTGAAAATAAATAGTATTTTTCAGATATTTTGAAAAAGGTTGTTTTGTTCCAACTCAGAGTGAAAATAAATTGTAAAAAAGCATATTTCTGCATAACACTGACATTCTTGATCTTCCTATAGATCTTACTGTGATTCCTTCAGGGTTACTCCTGTATAACAAAACCTTCCCCAAAAATGGCAGTTTCTCTGATATGTTTCTTACCAACAAGAAGGATATGAATCTCCGTCATTTCTGTAAGATGTGCTCTCGTGCATCAACTGTCTGTAAACATTCCTCACGTGGTAGTTTTGTATCATGAGGAATAAGCACGATAGCTTTTGTTTCATTGTTAAAGAACAACATTTCTTTGTTACTCTGAATCTTCATACATATCCCAAATAAAAATACTTTCTTGCTCTAAAATGCTGGCTTGACAGCCTTGTCTATATACAACATTTATTATTTCAGCTACTTGAATGGGGTGAAGAACTAACCATCTAAATTAGTTACTCAAGAAAAATATTTTCCTCCCATTTGTAGCTTGCATGTATTGCATAGAAACATATGATGTAGTCCAATGCAATAGTGGTATTTCAGTTTTTCAGAACCTGTTTCAGCAGAGGTCATGTATAGCCACAGAAATCACTGGGGTTTTGACAAGTGCTTTAGGTTCAGCCTGGTGTTATGTCCTTTGCCAAACTGGAGGCTAGCAAGATGACTTGAGTAGTTTCAGAATGGATTATTTAATGTTCTTTGCTAAAAATCAAAACATGAAGACTACTTGGAAGCTGCTACTGCACAACACCATAACATCCTATTGCATCTTCATTCTTTCATTTCTGGTACTTGCTAAAATGCCCTGGCTTCTGGCTTATTTCCAGGTGCAGTTCAAGGTGCTGATTTTGAAAAAAAACAAACAAACCGCATCATAGCAGTTTGGTTTCTGGGGATTTCCTGTATAAAAAAAGATCTGCTAAATGGGAAGATCTTGAAGGGAATGTCTTTTAAGCAAAAAGCCCTCAACTTGCCCTGAGCACGCATTCACTTACTTGGAATATTTGTCATTAGTTTGTCAGGCTTTCACATGGCTGCTGGACTAAAGACAGGAAGTTTTACATGTCAGTGGATAGAAAAGATAGCTGATCTAATGTTTTGAATGCATTTTTTAATTGTTCCTGCATATGCTCACATCGTAGGATGAAAAGCCATTTCATAGCAAAATGCAGGAGTTAAATAAAAAATTAAACTGAAAATAATAGGTGCGAGCATCTCTGAAATATATCCAGAATAACCAAAGTTTTATTCTCAAGGAAAACACCGGGATAAGTGCAAACACAAAAGGATATAATAATCTATGTTTAATGTCAGCTTATGTTAAAGTGGGGGAAATACCACTGGGATCTTTTGGTCTGTGATACTGAAAACGAGTAAGAGATACTTTATTTGTATATTTTGGACAGCCTATAATGATGATGATGAGGATAAGGATGATGGTGATAAAAGAAAACAGCAAGGCAGCACTGACAGTATGACAGAGGAGGAAAGGGTAGGCTCTTACTCAAGGTTCATATTACTAAGAAACGACTGGAGAGTAACAGAAGTCTGTTCAAGAGCTTTCTGTCTTGAAATCTAAAATGCCTGTTTTTAAATCTCTTCTTAGAAAACTTCATTGTACTCGGAACTACATCCATCTGAACCTGTTCCTCTCTTTCATTCTAAGAGCAATCTCTGTTTTAGTCAAGGATGACATTCTCTATTCCAGTTCCAACACAGCTCACTGTCCAGAGGATCAAACCTCATGGGTAATAAACCTCATTTGCTACCTGGTACTGTTGTGTCACTAAATTTTCCTCCCTGATCCTTTTAAATATTTAGGAATACCAAGCTCTCAGTGTGGACAATTCTGTAGAGATTGTAATGACTAGAAAACTGCTCTATTAGAAGTCGCCACAGAAAGAAGGTTGCAGCACAAGAAAGAGAAGACAGTGTTGTTTTGCATGTCCATGAAGGGACAACATGTCATCTGCCCAAACAAATCATGACCAGCTATAGCTCAGAATAAATATGGCCACTGCTTTCTTCAGCTGGGAGAGTTGGCAAACAAGAGAGCCATCAGCTGGGAACAATTAAAGACATCTGGAACTTCTGGAAGTGTTCCAGTAGCTTTATCAGGGGTCCAGGAATTGGACAGGTATCAACAGAGGGAGAGAAATGAGGCAAGGAATTAAATATTTGAAGGATTTGCCTGTATTAACTCCTCTGTACTTTCTGGCTATGTCAGAAGTGTTGTCATCTGCATTCATGGCAAGCTAATACGTTTACTGCATTTTCATGCACAGAGGTTAAAAAAGATCTCAAGTCTTTCTGTTGAAAGACTGACAACTATATGATATTCCCCATTCTCTGCCTCCATTGTTTCAGTCAAAAGTGCTGCAGAAGAACCCTACAAATATTGCTAAATACCTTCAGAATTTAATTTATTACAGTTTAAGCTTGCGAAAAATAAAATGGAAGGAAGACATTTTTGTATTGATTAAGCCATATTGCCCCAAAGCATGAAGTTCTTAGTGGTGATTACCAAGCTGTATGTATGAATTTGCACTCTAGGATATTTCTAATGAAGACAAATAGGCTCTGAGTTAGTAGACCCAAAGTAGGCGAAGTAGTTAGCAGGCAGACTGCCAGGTGTAATCAAAAGTTCTTAGGTCCTTGAATGATTAGGCAATGGACTCTCAAAATAGTACTTGATTTCTGCAATTTCTTCTGTCTGGGCTGAAAAGCCCCATACTTTCCTATTTGAATATGTCCAGTTTTGTGAACTGTTGAGTAATTTCTGTTGCATTATATGTGGGATGATCTGGCACCAGCTTGGCAAGGGTTTTTTGTCTTGCATTGGCTGGATGCTACCCTTCTTATGTAACAGCATGCGGGGTTTGTCTCTTCTGTCGCAAGTGTGTGATGTTCTACAGTTCTGCTGCACACACAGATGTCTAGAAACACACAATTCAAAATGCAGTGTAACTAGGGCCTGGATCTGAATGACACAGAGCCATAATTTTGGCTAACTTTACTGACAGATACCTTTGCCGTTCAGCATCTGGAAACAGACCTGGTGCAGGATTAGTTGCAGGAGGAAGGGAAAATATTTTGATGCAGGGTTCTGGTATGTAAATTGATAATATAATGTAGGGGAGTACTGGAATTTAAAAGAGATTACAAAAATTTTAGACTTTGACTTATAATCTGGTTGTAAGTAGTCATAAACATAACAGCAAATTTCACTTGCATTTTGAAATGTTTCATTTTCTCCATGTTAAATTTTCTGGCCCATTACTGGTCTGCAAAGGATATCCCTTCAGTGGATACAAAGTCCAGAGGTAAGATTAGTCTTACCAAATGAGATGACTGAACTAAGCTGTTTCTCTGGGCTTCTGTCTTTCTCACTGGACAGTTTACCTCATCTGCTTTAAGTCTGTCTCTGGACGTGCCCGTCTCTCTTCATGAGCTGTATACAGAGCTAGTTGGCTAGTAGGTGGCTAGCTTTCACCAGAAACCTTGGTTATGGACAGCTGGAATTAGGCGAACTTAATTCAAGCCTTTGGGCTCTTACTTCGTTGTCTGTATAGTCATGTATGCAGGCATAAATGGCAGGCATGTGTGTTATTTGGGATGCACTGAGATACCTGAGACACCACAGGGACTGATGGATACAAAGAAGTATCTCCGGAGGACTATGCCCTTCTGGCTTAGTAGCTGGTGACTGGGCTCCCCGAGGGCATCTCACTTCATAATAGACACCTATGTTTAGACAGAGGAATCACTAAATGAGTAACTTACATACTTAGCTACTTGGAATTTTAACAGAAGCAGTGGAGGTATGAAGGATATATAAAATAGGGAAGGGAGTAAAGCAGGAAGAAACTAGAAGTTTTATTTAGTCCATTTTGTTTAGTCTGTCACATTCACTAATCATCACATTTCTCAGCTCAATCTCAGCAGAAATGTTTTTATGTTCTATTCTCACATCCCAGATTTCTGCTGGGAAGTACCAAAGTAGCAGCAGCCAGCACTGTGGAACATCAGCAGCACAGACATCTGAAAATTAATTCTGAAGAGCAGCACACAGACTATAAGTACATTGGGACTTCATTTTATGACTTATGCTTATGTGTTCTGTTAATTAAGAAACACTAAAGCATTTCCTAAAGGGAAAATATAATTTTTAAAAGTCCAGTCAACTTCTTCTTCTAAGTTTACTTAGAGTATTCATCATGTAAAGTTGTATTTTTCACTCAGTTTCCCATTTAGCCTTGAAAAATTCATAAAGCAGTTTCTGTGTTAATTATTACTATGTTAAGAAGCCAGCTGGGATTTTAAGATATTTATTAGCCACCTAGTAGATGATCATTTAATCTCATAGCCATTCATTAACTAACTATTGCAAATGTGTGCATTTATTGATAACCACCACCTTTCACAACATTTATGCTTTGAAGTTTTCAAAAATTCTGAGTGAATTTGCTATGAGAGCTATCCAAATAATTTTTTTATAATTCATTTTCTTTTTAAACATACAGTAACATTGACAATATCTCTACTGGACCTGGGTTATTAATATTACATGGAGAATTAAGACCGATAGGATATATTAATAGCAATAACAAAGCATCTTTCCTGCAACAACTTTGATGCCGATTCTCATATTTCAGGTGGGCTGCAAGGCTATTTTGGTATTCTTTCAGTATGGTGTTATGGCAAACTTTTACTGGCTCTTAGTTGAAGGACTTTACCTCCACATCCTCCTTGTGCTAATATTCTCCCCCAACAGACACTTCACAATCTACCTGCTGATTGGATGGGGTAAGAAATTAAACAACTTCTGATAATATTCTTTTTTCTGTATGCATGTGTTAGGTTCAATATTTCGTACCAAGGTAGTCATGCTGTTCCTGCTGGGTGACTCCTCAGACTCACCAGTTCCTCAGTTCAGCTCCAGCAGAGGTTACAGCCGCTGTACCATGGAAGAGATTGGCATGGCTCTGACCTGTGTCAATCTGCACAATGCCCAGGGGTTGTTCAGGATGTAGGATGGTGCAAGGACCCCCACTGCAAAACGTATGATTCAGGCTGTCCTAATTTGGGAGGTAAAAGAAGTTTAGATGCACAGCCACAGGCTATGCTATGCTATTTGCCTTTTGGAAAAGCCCAATAATATTGTCCATCTGGTTTTAAATACATGTATTCCTTTCATTTCCAGAAAGTGCAATGATATTTATACAGAGCACTTAAAAGCGTCCGGTAATAGGTGGTCATAAAACATTTAGGTATTGCTGGGAAATGGGAATAAACCAGTGTGGGGGAATGGTTCCTTATGAAATGATTTACACCTCAGTTTTAGACTGTAGTCCTTGGAAGGGCATTGGGAATGCATAATTTGTATCTATCTCCCTGTAGGTCACTCTGACAGCTTGAAACAAACCTAAGAAAGGCACGTTCTTTGTGTATTAGTCATTATGGCTGCATTTTTATAAGAAATAAACCCACTTCCCTGCAGTCTTTGTTCGTAATACTTTGCTTACATCACGTAGCTCATCAGATCAGGGCCTCTCCTTCCATTCACTAAACTGTTTACTATATGCTGTATACTTGGGGAATAATTGGTTACTAGCAGGTGGAACTCTGTGTGTGTGTGTGTGTGTGTGTGTGTGTGTACTTACATTTTTGTGATCATGCTCTAAACCTCTTTGGGATTTTTCAGGAATTCCTACCATATTTATTATTACGTGGACAGTGACACGGATCATTTTAGAGGACACAGGGTAAGTGTGTGGGAGAGAGAAAGCTTAAAGCCTCCAACTGTGCCAGTACCATCCTTGCCTTGGATATGGTGGTGTTCACACAAAGGTGGTTTGCTGTTCTGAAGTGGATGAGCACAAAACTGAAATTTCAGATATGGCAATAAAGGGTCAGGCATTTAGAAGCTCTTCAGCATGCTGTTTATGCTTGCAGTTTATTTGAAAAACTCTAAGGGCAGGGATAGGTTATGACTAATGTACCCCATGAGACCAACATTCAGAGCTATCGGCTTTGGAAGTCAAAACAATACTTAAAATAGCAGTGGGGGTTCAGTGCTGCAATTCAGTGCGGTAAGATGCTGAGCATTCTGATTTGCTAACTAGCAACAGAAGATTGAGATCTAGATAACTTTGGGTATATCTAAATTACATTCCCAGTAGTGAAGCAATGTGATGTAAACATATGTAAGATGCACGTAGTCAGGTAAAACTATGACTAAGTAGATGTACGCCTGGGTCCTGGCATGGGAGGGGAAACCGAGATAAGAATTTTGTGGGAAGATCAGACTTGCTGCTCCTGCTGGACCCAAGGAATTGGAGAGCATTCCAAGCTAGTGGGACAAACAGTTTTCACACTTCTTTTTTTTCAATCTGACTAATATTTTTCAATTGATTCTGTAATTAAACTGAAAAATCATGTCCTACATAATTTCTAAGTTTTTTTGCAAGACCTCTAACATGTAAACTGAAGGCTAACTAATTTTTCCTTTGTCATTATAATCACAGAGGAACTCTGAAGGGTATTGCCCTTGCTTAAGATTAATCTTTCAGAGCACTTATTCTTAGAGTATTTGGACCAAAAGTGCTGAGCCCACTGTAAAAAATAAATTTTCAGTTTTTCAGACGAAGTTTCAAGTTCAGGCTCACATTTCCTGAACCAGTTCCAGCCATCTGTAACCTAAATATCCCACAAGGAATTATGTCATTTCAACTGACAAACCTCCTCAAAGAGGAGGCTCAGGGGAGACCTTATCGCCCTCTACAACTGCCTGAAAGGAGGGGGTAGTGAGGTGGGGGTTGGCCTCTTCTCCCTGGTAACAGATGATAGGAAGAGGGGGAATGGTTTGAAGTTGCGCCAGGGCAGGTTTAGGTTGGACATTAGGAAAAACTTCTTCACCGAAAGGGTTGTCAGGCTCTGGAATGGGCTGCCCAGGGAGGTGGTCAAGTCCCCATCCCTGGAGGTATTTAAAAGAAGGATAGATGAGGTGCTTAGGGCCATGGTTTAGTGGTGGGATGGCAGGGTTAGGTTAAAGGTTGGACTTGATGATCTTAAAGGTCTTTTCCAACCAAAGCGATTTTATGATTCTATGAATTGTATCTGTCAGTTGCTTTAGATCTTCCTGCTACCCAGAGGCTGGTGTTAAGTGCTTATTGGAAAAGTGTCATTACACAAAATGAAACTAAGCTTGGTTTCTCTAAAGACCAGCATCCTCCATGATGTCTAATGGTACAGTCTAGTGTGCCTGATGCTTCAGCTGACTTGAATATGCATATTAAAACCAGGGAAATAAAATTAAAAGCAGAAAAAGATTGAATGCCAAACTCTAGGCTAGAACAGGCAGTATTTTAGCGTGCTTTGACTTGTATATAAGAAATACTTCTCCTCATAGGTCTTGCTTGCCAGATGATATTAATGTCAACATCATTTTCCCTCTTTTTTTTTTTATAGTTGCTGGGATACAAATGAGCATGGTGGTCCCTGGTGGGTTATACGAATACCAATTTTAATTTCTATTATAGTAAGTAAACTTTGAAGAATGAATTATAGATCATTTCAGCATTGTGCAGTGCATATAGCCATTATTCTTTACTGCTAGTTACAGACAGGCAAGAATTCTGTTTTAATGAAAAGAAATTGCACTGCAGGAGAATGTTAAACAGATGCCAAGGCCATTAAAATTTGTTGCCTTCAAAATTTATCTGCCTCCTATTAAATGAGCAGTTGCTTTTATTTGTATGTTGTTCTTTCTTTAACATCTCTCCTGTTTATGAGCCTGGGGGAAGCAAAAATCTAATTATACTTTTCAATTAATTGCAGATTTGATTTTGCGTGTAAATGGATAGCCCTGCAATTGAAAATCTGATATTATTGCAGCCATAAAAAGCTATGGCTGTGTATATCTTTCTTTAATTGGTAGCCTACTGAAATATATATTGAACATGAATATTTGCAAAAGAATACCATTTGAGAATGTTTCATGGGGCTTTTCCTATGTGGAACTCATTAGAATTACTGGAGTAGCATAAAAAAATTCCTGTTCACTGTGATGATTGTGTAATTAACTTTGGGCATACTATACTATGGTTATATGTCCATTTCTGAAAACAGTCACAGTGCAAACTAATACCTTTCAGATACACTTGCTTTATTTTTAACATTTTAGTCAAAAAAATGAGGGCATTATTAGATTACACAAGATTTCAAGAGCCCACATTACTCTTGGGCTTGCCTTTCAATCAGTGCATGTTGAAAATCATTTTGAGAGAACTTCCTATCATCTTCATCAGAGTGAATTCTACAGTGTTTAAAGAGAAAGCAGAGTAGGCGTGTGTGTGAAATGACATAAGGTAAGGACTGACAGAAAAGATGTTTTATAATAAGAAGAAATGGGCATGCAAAAGAACTATAGCATGAAGAGAATACGTGTACCTCAAAGGAGCTGGAGAATGGGGGACAGTCCAGAGCAAAGAAAATATGCTGAAAGATAAAAGCAATAAACCCAGCTGGTGTTTACAGAAAGATGAAAGTCTATTCTCTGGATGTTCAATTTAAACAGCTATCTGGTAGACATCTGAGGCTTCACATGCCAGAAAGAAGTCCTAGACCTGGAAACAGAAGTTCCCAAGTGTTCATTGGCAGACTTGAATTGCAGCTGGATCTTAGCAAAGACTGGGAAATGAGTTGTGAGTTAAGAAAATGGAGTACTTGTCAGTCAGCCGAAGTCCAGTAGATCACAAAATGTGGACCAGAACCACTGTTTGAGGCAAAGGAACAGTCATTCTCCTTTTTGGAAATGACCTTTTTTGGCTTGCCGGGTGCATATGTTTAGGATCTGCTGTCACCTTCCAGATATGTTTATTCTCTTAAACAGCGTGTTTTAGAGATGAGAGCAACTAAAGAAGGCTAAGTGATTCTGCCATGGGTACTGAGTGAAGCCACTTCTCCGATTAGATGGTTCTTCAGCTCTGAGCTCTTCAGCTCAGATCAACTACATTTTGCATTTGGGAAGTTAAGCTGTGAAAGGTAGTTGTAAAAGCAGTGATACTCACCCTTTCCTTCTGGGTAAGTAACTTACCTTGTTACAGCATCGAACTATAACCAGCACATTCAGTGTGGCAGTTAGGATGCTGTGCAAACTTACTGCTGTGCAAAGTAGGGCATGCATTCATAGAGCAAGAGGAGCTAAGGAACTGTCATGTAAAATTGGTCATTGATGAGTGAAAAATGCTACATTCACAAGAACATAATTTTCAATACACATCTATCATAAGTTCAACATTTCCTGTTTACCTTCTAGAAAAAATAGAAGTTGAAGATTCAAATCTTTGAATAATGAGGTCAGTGCTGCCTGCCATTCAACAGTAAGAACAGATCATTGCAAGTTCTTTGGACTAGTGATGTGAAAGAGTCATGATGTTTCTCAATAAAAGTCTGATGTACTTCCATCATACTTACTCACACAGTGCCTTCAGTCTGCTCAAGAATGTAGAGAGACTGGAAGACTCACAGAGAATGGTGACAAGGATGACTAGCAATAACAAATGGCTTCAGTAGTGGGAAAGACATCTGTGTAAGTAGGCAATGAGGTGAACACAGGAAAACTCTGAAAGAAGCCAAAATTCAGGAAAATAAAGGAGAGCAGAACACCTAAGCTGAGGTCTCTGGTCCACTGCCTTATGTAATGGCATGAAAGAAAGCCCGGGGTGTGGCTGATACTGAAAATCTTTAAGAGGAGGAAGAAGATTGAAGAAAAGAAGAGTAGAATAGAGCCTGATTGTGAGGATGATGCCATGAATATGCTTTTGAAAGACAGAGGAAATCAAGCAAAGGTTTAAAGGAACAATGGTTTAACCTCATTAGACTTAACAAGAAGTCCACTCAGTCTTCATGCCATGTTCACTCTCTTCCATCAATTTCTGTGCTTGCTCCAAACATTTCACTGTTTAGAAGATTATACTTTCTATAAGGTTATTAACCAACAGTAAACAGTATTGTGAGAGCAAGTTCTGAAGTCACTTCTCACAGTGAGAAGGCTTTAGCAAATTCAGTGTGTCAGAAACCTTCCCTGGCATCTCCTCCTGACAATTTTGTCTTGAGAAAGTTATTTGGCAGGTTTCCATGCTTCATGCTGTGCACACTTCAGAGCTATTTAATTGGGGTGACTATTCCAAACAGTTAATGTAGTATTACCCATATTCTCCATTTATCAAATGCCTCCGCAGCTGCCTTCTCCATACTTCCACTTGCATAAATGTCTCTCATTTGGACAGGAGTGGTGTTCGGGTGTAACGAGTACTTCCATCACATCAAAGTAACTGAGAAATGTTTATCTTGTTATCTCAAATTGCAGGTAGTGTAAGGGACTAAATAGCAGGAAAGAAGCGACATGAAGACATGCTCAAGCAATGTGTTTAGACAAAAACTTGTCAGAAAAAGTCAACCAGTAAAAAAGGGTACCAGCAGCATCTTGCTGTTACTCCACTAAGAGGCATCATTTGTCATCACTCTTTTGCATTTCTCTGCATTCACGTTATTTTCTCATTTTCCTGGTTTTAGGTGTTCATTGAACAGTATACATATTTTATTTAAAGACGTTATTCTCAAATGATTTTATGGGACCAAAATGCTACGATACTAAAAAGTAAAATTACAGAGCACTACTTCTTTCATATTTTATTGAAATATACTATTTTAAATCAATAACAATTATCAATTCAATAATAATCTCCACTGTAGTAAGTCAGTGGCAGTTGCCACCATTAGATCTTAATACCCAGTTTCAGCTGGCTGGATTTACAAGCTCAGTAACACCAAGGACTGTTACAAACTCCAAAGAAGAATGAGTTTTTCATGAATCCAAGATTGTGCTTACAGACAGAAAGGTATGCATTTGAAAACAAACTTTAAAGTAATACATGAATGTCAGTCAAGAATGTGAGTCACCTGAGTGTAGTTTTGCAGATGATATGGTGCTTCAGAAGCCAAATGGATGACAGTTTGTTCTGTTACAGTAGAAACTAGGGATGCCTGTGAAGAACAAGAAGTTATTCTGCCAATCCCTTTGCAAATACAGAATAAAGACTTTTCCTCCTTCTATTTTGTGGCTAACAAATATACAATGAAATGGAAGCTCTCTCCTTGTCCACCAATACTGGCTTCAGTGCATATGGCAAACTAAATATCTGTCTGTACACTCTGCTATGGTAAGTCTGTAGATACAATCAGCAATAACAGGGTTCTGCCTGTTGCTTTTATAGAACACTTGCATCAAGGAAAACTTCTAAGTCATCATCTGCCTGAAAAATCTATGTTAAATTCAGTAAAGGCCTATATTTTCTAACATTTCTTTTTTTAGTCTTCTTTTTTCAAAAATACTAGATTTAATTTTCCTAATTTGTTTTTTAATCTCTGTCAGTTCCTGTCACTTCCCTTCACCTGTCATTTCAAACCAAGTATCAAATACAGAGGGGTATGCAGTTGCTATGATCATAGTTTATGTATTAACATCACAAGTTGTACTGGGTATGTCAGAGAAGACATAGAAATGCATTGAACTTGAAAAGCTTACAGCCAAATAGTTAAGACTGGAAAAAGAAGAATTCCAGCAATGCATCAAGACAAAGACTGAAGGTTTGTAGCAGTGAGGCAGGCACTGTCTGGTCGGGTACCAACCTCCTGATTTTGGGCTTTGGGATGGGGTTAGTTAAAAACAACAAAACACTCATTTTCACAGTGATAGAATTTTTTTTCTAGGTTGATTTCTTCTAAAATGTGTGCATTTGATGCAGCTGTTTATGTAGCTGGAGTTTTTAGCTCACGTGGCTGTGAAAGTGTGGACTCCAAGTGTTCCCTCACTTCAGTACAGGTGTGCTATATTCAGTGTGTGGTTTTCCAGACTGCACCAAACAGTCCAGCACCAGAAGAGCTGGTGAACACAAGATGCCAAAAACCAAGGATGAAGAAATAATGGGAATCAGACTTAGGATCTACTGAGTTTCATACTTCAATTTTCTAGACTGATCAGGATCTGACCATAACTTTTTTTATGCAAGTGCCTTTCTAGGAAATAAAATCTGAAATAATATAATACTGCTGTTCTATGTCAGAGGGCTGTCATGAGAATCAGACTGCAAGGATCCCGTTCCTTCAGTGTTAATGTCTGCATCATACCCAAAACAGACAGATACTTGTGAGAGGCCCTTTCTATGCTTGACTGGAGTTGGCAGATCACCTGTGCAACAGTCTTCTCTTCCCCTAATTCAGACAGAAATATTAAAAGTCAAGGCAAGAGGCAAGAGACGGACAAAACTGTGTATGAGACTCACATTTTCCTTTGGGCTTCCAGTCATGAATCCACGGGACAGTTTAGGACAATGCTTGATTGCACCAAATCCAGTGTCCCATCATGCTGGGAAACCTTTCTTGGGCTGAGATTTTGGAAGGAGGGCACTTCTGACAACTGGGGCTTTCAAAGGCTTTTGCCAGCTGGAGTAGTACTGGTGGCCGTGCAGAGGTGCGCTGGACGTGACAAACCTAGTGAGGCAGAAAGCAGACAACAGGTTTGACAGTGTAGAGCCTGCTGTGTTCTTGGCAGGAGGTACACAGCATCCACTGCTGAGCTGATTTGTCTGACTTGATCAGCATTTCTTTGTGCTGCATATTGAGTGGAGAAGTCAGAAGTCACCATTATATTTGTTTTCTTTGCAGGTGAATTTTATACTTTTCATTAGTATTATAAGAATCTTACTGCAGAAGTTAAGATCTCCAGATGTTGGAGGAAATGACCAGTCACAGTACAAGTGAGTCATATTTTTAGATATTATATACAGAACCAAAGTTTCTGTAAGATTTCCTCTGCTGGAAGCTGCTACCAACAATTTCAATGATACTACAATTATATTTAATTCAGGGGTTCTTCTACATGAGGTTTAATAAAGATCTAATCACTCTGCTGAAATAGAGATGAACAAAATTTTTATTGATCAAACACTAAATTCCATTAAAAATATGCAGTTTCATAATGATCAAGCTATTCTTGAATTTCAGTTTAATCCATGAATCAATATGCTGATACTAAGAATATGGGGGGGTAATATCTTTCTTTTAATGCATAAATATTTCATAACAAAAGTCTCAAGATCAAAACGCTTTGCTTCAACCTCCTTAAAAACCTTTTTTTTTTAATTTTTCATTTCTAAAATACTTTTTGTTGCAATATTTACATGTATTCTAAGACATGGAAAGAAGTTATGTTGTTCCCAAAAAGTAAAAAAAAATAAATACAATGTTTTATGTAGATTTAAAATAGCATCTTTATATTTCTGGAAGAAAACAAATGTTTCTGATTTAGATCAACTTAATTATGTTTAGGCTTTCTTCTTTTGTGTCTTGGTTTGAACATCAAATCCTGGCATCCATTTTTTCCACTGATCAGGGAATGTTGGGGAGCAATTTAAATACATTGCTAAAATTGTGTGTGGTCTTTATTAAATTGCTGTATTAGTTATTGTTGTTTATTGTAATAGCTGCTGGATAGTGTCATCCAGAATGAAGAGTCTGTTGTAGTAGGTCTTATTTTAAAGACCAGATATAGACACTGAGTTTGACACTTCAGGATGTTAATATGATATTTCAATGACAAAACCTAATGTGAACACTGAAAATTCAAAACCATGCAAGTGGCCTTTGAAAATGTGCTCCTGGATAACATCCTTTCTTCATTTAAAAAATACTGAATTCCTGCCCTAAAAGCATATAAACCATGGTATGCTATAGTAAAACATATCTTTAAAGCCAAGAGAACTAGGACCTTACGCATTTTGTAAACAACGTGACACATCTGATGTAAAAAGTGAAGAATTCTGATGCGCCACAGAAAAGGCAACACGACCAGACTGACATAAAACTTTGCTTCACAGAGCTGTAAGGGTCCTTTTTTGTGTTTGCAGCTTGAATTAACTAAACACGTGGGAGAACAAATCAGCCTAGATGCAATTATGCAGTTGCCACATTATTATTTAGCACAACGACCAACCTATGGGCAGGAAATCCCCTCAAGTTTACTTGTTGTGACTGCAAGTTTTCTTTGTTTCTGTGTGGTATATATGTATTTTATGAAAACGAGGCTTTCCCTTCCTATCAGTCCCATCATTTTCCACAGATTGTGGTAGTGCTTCATAGTATAAAATGTTCATTAGTAGCAACCTTGTCCTTCATTATTCAGCCCTGTGAATTCTTTGCTTTTAGCGTTTGATTGCCTGATTAAGTTTGCATTCAATGGTCTTTAGCCAATACCCATGAGAACAGCAGATTAACCTCCTCAAGAAATACTGCATCTACACAGCAAATTAAAGGTCTGGAAGGCTCGTTTTTCAAAATGCAAATGCATTTTCTAAAATATAGAGAAGAATAAGGCTATTTTGTCTGTCCCTTTCCTTCACTAAAATGTAAGTGTGGTATAGAGAAAGTAACATTAGCTAGACAAAAATTACTGAAAGAAGAATGGAGTGAAAGTGAAATGAGAGTCCAAAATGAATACTGCTCACCCAAGTCACCATTTTTCCTCCCTTCCTCTGTCCCACTTCTTGTACCTGGTTCTATCCTTTTTGTTGCTCATTTTACTTTTGCAGAGGGTAAGGTTGAGTTCAAATAAAATCAGTTTTCCATTTTGCTTGGGAAACCAGGAAATTTGCTGCCATCATCATCTCCTCCAGTTGTAAATTAATTTCTTCTGCTAAGGAAATCCTATTTGTCCCGCTTACTGGTATCACTGTTAGATGTGAGGGTCTTACCATGCTTGAGAAACTTCGCTGTCAGAACTGATTATCTCCACATAAACAGATGCAGCCTCTGGGACATTATGAACAAAGGAAGGCCATGAAGACTGACATGGAAAAAATAAAACTGCTTGAAATACCTTGACTTTTCTGTTAAAATAGGTGAATTCACAACAGCATCCTTTCATTGTTGAATCAAGTTATATTCACCAAAACACTGATGTATTATGGGATGCAGCATTATAACTTCTTGAATTTTATCTGATACCAGACGTCCATAATCATGCCTGACTAGCCCCATATAACATATAAAACTGATGTTATTAGAGTGAAGTAAGTGACAGATAAGGGACAACTAGCAATTTATCATTTCAGCGGTTTCACAGGCAGTTTGTCAGAGCTGCTCTGCTTAATAAGTTAAAGTTCTCCTTCCTTAACTTCAGTAGTGTCTTATGCTAAACTGTATTATGTAAGGGATGACATTAAAAATTAGTTAAGGGCATATGCTTAATACCATCAGTATCATTATGAAATTTTTTGTATTTGGGGGTAAATCTGAAATCGCTCATGAAAATCTCACAGTGTGAGATTATTCTGGATTACATTTCCTAGGTACTGTTTGCACACTGTGTATGTGCAATGTACAGACTAACCATACAGTTGCACGTTTAAAGGAAATCAACATCAATTAAATTCAAGAGAGAGATTTTACCCTCCATACAAGACGATCTGTCACTGTGACTTTGCAGGAAGGCGTTGTTCCTTTCCACTCTGAACCTTTTAGGCCAGGTAAAAAATAGCTTGAGAGACCTGATGGCAGCTCATGACACTTTGTTGAATGTGGTCCTGTGGAATAATGCAGTAAAACCCCACCCGCAAAGACCGTGCCAAGAAACCAGGCTGGAAAGTGAATGTGTGTCAAAAAGACACAGCAGAGGACGGGTCCTACATCCTGCTGCTGTCCAGAGGGCCACTGAGCACTGGTCTTTTAGTTTAGAGAGGCCCTGCAGCCTTTTGCCAGCTTTTGGAAAAGTGCAAGGTCAGCAAGATCAAGTATAACATGGAATTATGAGGTTACTATGTGGCTAACCTCATAGCAAGCCTGAAATGAAGAATTTCCAATAAATTATTCTTACTAAGACTGTTTATAACTCTGAAGTCATACAAGGTTTATGTAAATGACATTGCAACAGGTTCTTATCTCAGTAAAACAAGAGCTTATCATTAAATTCCAGCTTTTTCTCTTTTGTTTACCCAGGAGACTTGCAAAATCCACGTTGCTGCTTATTCCATTATTTGGAGTTCACTACACAGTGTTCGCTCTATTTCCTGACCGCAGTTCCAATAATTATAAAATAATCTTTGAGTTGTGTTTGGGATCTTTTCAGGTAAATTTTAAAGTTTTTGTTCAAAAGACAGATTATTGACCTAGGTTGATGCTGCCTTCTAACTAAGAAATATTGTGTCTTTCCAGGGGCTGATTGTTGCAGTCCTGTATTGTTTTTTGAACAGTGAAGTAAGTCTCGCCTTTCCTACTGAGGATGTTAAATATTGTTTTCAGTAAATGTATAAGTGCCCCTGTGATTCCATTCTGATACGTGGAGCTGCTTCAGAAGATGTTTGCATTCCTATTTATAGAACATATACGTGGCAATTTCTATGCAACAGGAGAAACTAGTGTATTTGGGTGAAGAGTTAAGAGCTGTTTGAAATCTAATGCCTTGCAACCTAAGGTATTAGTGTCTTCTGTTATTTAACATGATCTAATTCTAGCTCTATGGAGAATTGTGGAAGCAATGTGGATTGTGCAAGTGAGGTGCAACCAATCTAGAAATTTATCCAAAACTTGAAACACTTGAAATTTAGTATTTCAAGGTAATCTTCTGACAGAATCTAACCCCCAGAACAGCAGCAGATTTTCAGCAGTGCTCAGCACACAGCAGCTTTCTAATCTCAGCTGATGAAGATGCAAGGAATTCCTTTTGATGTCAGCCACTTTTTAAGGTAGAATATACGTTAAACAGCATGCAGTGTCTGACAGGAGGAATCTGTCTGAAGAAGACAGCTGTTTGCACAGGGAATTGACATTCAGGTCTCCTGAGTGCTATTCTGGTCTTTGATATTCATGAGATGCCTGATTTTGGGCTAACCGTTTGATTCTATGCTTTACGTATGTGTGATTAATAGATAGATACCAACAGCTAATGTTGCAACACAAGTGACAGCAAACTGATTTTGAAAGTGGCCTTGGGGCATCTCCTCACAGACAGCATAGACACAATCTTCGCCTCAGTTTTGTAATATTTGTAAAAACTGATTTGATACTCTAGAGGGAAGGGATGCCATCCAGAGGGGCATTGACAGGCTTGTGGAGTGGGCCCATGTGAACCTCATGAAGTTCAACAAGGCCAAGTGCAAGGTCCTGCACCTGGGTCGGGGCAATCCCCAGTATCAGTACAGACTGGGAGATGAATGGATTGAGAGCAGTGCAGCAGAGAAGAACTTGGGGATGCTGGGGAATGAAAAATTGGAGATGAGACAGCTATGTGTGCTTGCAGCTGAGAAAGCCAATCGTATCCTGCATCAAAAGAAGGTTGAGAGAGGTGATTGTCCTCAGTACAAGAATGGCACGGACCTGTTAGAGTGAGTCCAAAGGAGGGCCACAAAAATTATCAGAAGGCTGGAACACTTCTCCTGTGAAGAGAGGCTGAGAGAGTTGGGATTGCTCCTCCTGGAGAAGAGAAGGCTTTGCAGAGACCTTATTGTGGGCTTTCACTATAAAAAGCAGGGATTATAAGGAAGATGGAGAAAAACTTTTTATCGGGGCCTGTAATGGCAGGAAAAGGGGTAATGGCTTTAAACAGAATGAGGTTAGATTTAGATTGCATATAAGGAAGACATATTTTCTATGGCTGTGGTGGAGACACCAGAACAGGTTGCACAGAGAAGATGGGGAAGCTCCATCACTGGAAATGTTCAAGATCAGGTTGCATTGGGCTCTGAGCAACCTAGTCTAATGAAAGATGTCCCTGCCTATGGCAGGGGGGTTGGACTAGGTGATCTTTAAACGTGCCTACCAACCCAACCCATTCTATGATTCAATTCGTAGAGGTCCCCATTTGGCAGCCAATAAATGTGGAAAAGTTCCTCACGTAAATGAACATTTTCAGCTCATGTCATGCATTTTCTTTTTAACACAGGTGCAAGGGGAGCTGAAAAGAAAATGGAGGAGTTTGTGCTGGAAGCAGACAGTGGACAAAGATTACAGACTCCACAGCTCTTCGATTTCTCGAAATGGATCCGAAAGCATTTCTCAGCTCCACCGGAATTCAAGAGCTCAGTCATTTATGCAGACAGAGACCACCATGATATAAATCAGCTAGGTCCCCCAAAACATGAAAAACTGTGGGATGTATCATTCATTATGAAGCTTGATGTGATATTTTATAAAATGTACAGTTTAGTGCTTTGCTTTTCTACATGTTGGTATTTGGGAAATTGGTTTGTGCAGCCACCCAGTTAATAACAGAGACACCTGCCCCATGGATGCTTTCTGGGTTTTTTAAATGGTATTCATATTAATTCTGATGTTCTCTTGCCATTTACTAGCTGTAACTATTCAGAAAATCATTTACTGTAATGGTCCCTTTACCCTCCTACATGTCTACAAGATAGATGTATGGTATCCTGTTCAATGCAGAGTGCTTTGGTACATGTTGAAAAGGTTAAGGTGGGAAGCAAGAAAATTTCTTACACTTTACTTTAAGGAAACATTTCTTTCCTTAAGGATTAGGAAGTTCTTTCCTAATTATGGAAAACAAAATAAAAATAAAGCAATGTAAGACTATAATTAACTGCACTGGAAGTTTAGTGTGCTAATCTGGGAAATCATTAACATCAGTTATACAGAGGGGATAAAAGGTAGCACTTCTCAGCTTGTTGTATAAACTTCAGAGATTACTTTCTACAGAGTTTGATTTCAATCCTATTGTTCCGTTTAGATGCAGAAAGTGGGGCTACAGTCCATACAGAAAAGGCTACTGTAATAGTTTTGATTAAAACATCAGCATTTTCCCGTAGTGCTATTGCAGTCACCAGTTGTTCTCTTCTGTTTAAAATCAAAGAGATTTGTGTACATCTTTTATTAAACAATTTTCTGAAAGAGGTGCTTTATTGCTAGAGCGGTCTGGAATAGGATAAACAGCCTTGGATAGCGTATTACCCACTGAAAATGTAATTTTTGTATATTTTCATTGAAATGTGTCTCTAAAACTGCATACATGGCAGCTAAAACAAGGAATATTGCAAGTTACAACTCCCATTTAAAGACTAACATAAGTTCTTTTAGCTTAATTCTATTCTGTATCTACCTGAGCTGATTTAAAATTTAGTCCTGACCATGACTCCAGCAAAAAAAATGAGACAGAATCCCTAAAAATGACCATAAAAGGCATAAATAGAAGGAATTCTCAACAACACCAAGCCTCTTATGTAGCCATTTTGTAAAAAAAAAAGAGACATAGGACTTATAAATATACACAGAACATTTGCACTCTTCAAAAGAAATAAATCAAATGAAGTTTACTTCCCATGTCACGTTTAACCATGTCCACTCTAAATAAGAAGTGGGAATAATACACATTTGTATGACTACCTCTGATCCATAAAAGCCCTGCTATTTCAGGTAACAGATTGTGTGGAGCTAGCAGAAGCCAGTCCATAATATTGCCAGGTAAAGGGAGGAACAGCAGCAAGGGCATGTCTTGGCAGGCATACACGTTCCTTCTTGAAAATATTACCAGTACTGTGAATCTTGTTGGCAGCCATCAAAATGCCCATACATCTCTTGGTCTGACTTAATTTAGCTATTTATCAGTCAAACACAATTTATTTTAATGGGACTACCCTGGAGTGATACAAAGTTATGTCAGACCAAAGACAGAAAAGGCCCTGTGGTTCACATGAGTACTGCAGAACAGGTAACTCTGTGAATGTTGCATGACACTAAACTCTACACAGTAGGAATCATTTGAGTTACACAATAATCATTTGATGAATTGTTACTTTGCCAAATTTGACTTTAAGGAAGCTGTTGATCACCTCCAGTCATCCAGAGTGTTTTCTCCTGTCACTTGGTGAAGTAACTATGAGATTCTGGAGTGAAGTAGGCTACCTAATGACAGTCCCATGGGGTCTAAAGATACACCCCTACACATATATTTAAACAAAATATATTTCCAAAGGCTTTAGACTCAGAAATCACTGCTAAACTTCAGTACTTTTCCTGGATCTCTGAACAGCCTTATCAACAAACTCTTAGCTGCAAATATATGAAGACACACTGGAGCTTTGGGGGCTGCTTGGTCTGAAGTGGTAGTGGGACTGTTCAGCTCCCAGAGATGTGACATGCAGGGTGTACTTTTTGCCCCAAATTTCTAGGGTTGAAAGGCACACTTGGCAAGCATTCAAGCATACTAGCATACTCGTCTTTATTTTCAAAGAAGGTTCATTGAATGATGAGCTGAGTGAGTCAGCACCCAGACAGAATGATGGTAGAGAAATAGAGATTTCAAGCGATCAGCTCCATCAGTCTGTTCTGCATGGTGCATCACCAATTATACATGTTTATAATTCATTGTATTCTAGAGAAAACTCTCTTTGTTCTAATTAGGTGACCATGGAGAAAATCTGCATTTTAATTATTTCTGGATTATAAGACAGAAAAGCTTAAATAAGAAAATAAATTTTAAATTGCAATGAAACAGCACAATTTCCTTTAACAGGGTGCAGAGTGCATTTGGACTTGATTCGCATGTAAAAGCTGCAAAAGTGTGACAAATCCAGTACTTGATCAATGGTTTGCATCTTTACGACACCCAGAAACAAGATAGCTTCTCATGGCTTTGTCTTTCATTGCGTTTGGCCAAGGGTGTGGAGTTAAACCCTCCTGCTCTGTGCTGTGGTGACTCTAAGAGTCAAAAGGACAACGCAAGAAAACATCATTTTGTCTTCTGTCATCCCTAAACCTTGTTCTTGCTCAGCCCAAGCAGCATCAGGGGTGCGGTAGAGGCAACAAGGCAAGCGTACGCACGGCCCTGTCACATAGCACTCCTCCCTTTATTCCTTTACTGCCTTTCTCCCTTTGGTTGCATCAGGGTCCAAACCAAGTCTTCAGAACAGGAAGCCTGTCTTTTGTCCCCACTGAAAAGCCAGTAGCACATCATGTAAAGTTATTGAACAAGAATGGTAATACAGTTCGCTATCCTACTGCAGTTTGTCATTGTATTTTACTTTCCTTGGAGCTGCCAGGGTGGCACCATTCATTCTGAGTGATTTTTATCAGCATTACCTGATGCTGCTGCCTGAGGGACACAATGACAAATTACTCTCCAATTGCTAACCATGATCAAAATCTACATATATAGTGAGCGTTGACTCAAATTTTCCCCAGCAGTCGATTTCAGCTAGGTGCTCAATAAACTCATGTGAAATTCATCTGCCCTGGTTTCAGTATCTAAAAGCTGGATGCCTGTCTCTGAGCTAAAGGCTCTCTCTAAGTGCCTTCCGTAGCCACCATAGAGAAACAGGCACTAACTGAAGGTGACTCATCCCACGTTCAGCTGGGCATCTAAGGTAGGTAAGCTGAATCACCTTTTCCTCTATACTTACTACAAAATGAGCCCAGGGTAGCTGGCTAGTACTTAGATTTCTCACTCCACATCTAAAATTAGGCAAGATGAATCTCACCAGAAGAGGCCATTCACTTACCTGGCTGATGCTACCCAGATACTTCTTTTTAAGTCAAGTAACGTGGGTTGGCCAAAGTTATCCTCAAAAAAAAATGTGTAGGATGATTCAAAAGTTCAGGCGATGGAGGATCCCTTGGTTCATTTGGTAGGGTGTCCCTGTGGTTGACTGCCTTCCACAATAAAGCCAATAGCCTTATGTCCCATTTTCATTTGCCTGGCTTCAGCTTTCAGCAATGGTTTCTTGCTTAGAGTCAGATGTTTGGCTTTTTGTCTTTTGTAGAGGGGTTATGCACTAAAACAAAGTGCTTTAAACTACCAGAAATTTTCTTTATGTGAAGTCTCTTGGAAGTCACTCTTTAAATCATGTCTTAATTTCCTCTCTGAGAAACTAAACATGTCAAAGATTTCAAATTCTGTCAGTGAGGCATTTTCTCAAGTATTCTTCCTGATTCTCTTCTGTGCCCCGTTCCCTTCATAATAGCTTTGGCCAAGAGAAGCAAGGGAAGTATTTCAGGATCTCCTCCCTCAGGAGTGCACACACTGTTGACCGTGTTCCTCACTCCCACTTGCAGCTCACCCGGTCATACCTTTGAAATCTTTGTACATAGTCATTTTAACTGGCCAGGAACGGGCTAGTGACATGTGATGAGATTATTGCTGCCATGATTTTTGCCATATAAACTAGTACCTTTTGAAAACATGTTGGCCTTGGTGTCTGGGTCAGGTGCATTAATGTGCTTTGCAAAATAACAGGAATATGGAGAGCACTCTTTTAGCCATTGAAAGCAGTGCTGGCTTTCATGAAATTTTAAGAATTTGACATGTATTTGAGTAAGTACTGCACATGCTCCACGCCGGAGTGCACAAACTCCCAACAGAGTGCACCTGTGATGGGTGCTGCAGGCACCAGCCGAGGAACTAACCAGTTTAAGCATACGTTGGAACTGTACTGTAGTGACAATGACTAATTGGTGGCAAAAAGCATTACAAAAAGCTTTCTACAGTCCGGCTGGAGGCAGCCTGCCCCACTCTGTAGCATCTACTCCATGTCCTGCCTGATGCAATAGGCTTTAACGTGACGAAGGGGAAAGAACAAGCATAGACCCTCAGCAAACCAGAGCAGCTGTCTGGGGCGGCCTTGCCAAGCGCGTGTCTCAGGCTCCATGTGTAAGGACTGAGATGAGTCATTTGCATTATTTGTCTCCTATTTTTATGAGTTCTAAAAACCATCCTCTGTTGACTGAATTTGTCTAGCAAAGCGATTGTGAATAAAGTCCAAATTCACTTTATACAGATTTTTTTTCAGACATCTCTGATGAAAAATCAAGCATTAAGTATGTCTGCTGAAAGGGAAGAGTGGGCAAGTCACCTGCAGAGAAAGCTGCTATGTACATCAGGGTTATTGTCCGAGCAATGACTGCCTGTGCATGGGGATACAGGAAATGCATTGCTAACAAAGTTACCTTCACATTACCATGAGTGCTTGTATAAGCTGTGGGCTGTCAGTACTACCCTGACAGAACCACATAGCAGAAGTTAGCATGCAGTGCTATTCTGTTGATGAAAAAACAATAATAATAATATGTTCCAGCATGTATGTTGTGAGAGTACGTCAGGGTAACATT